TTTCGAGCAGTATTTCGTGCAACATTTGCAATTTAAAATAAAATATACAAAAACAAGATTTTCTCAAAAACGGCTCCAATATTTTTCTTTAAACTTTTGGTAGGGATATACTGCATAAGATGAAATAAACGCTATATTGCTCTATTCTTTTGTTTTCTCAAAAAATGCAAAAATGTAATTTTTTGCCATGTCTCTCGCGTTGTTAATATTTATATTAGCGGCAATTCGTTCACATCATTATATTTATGAGTACATGTAACGTTAAATAATGTCATAAAGTTTCTCGAAAACTCAACCATTTTCTGTGAAAACTAGCTCAAATTCCGCATTTTCAGAAATGGTCATCCGCCATTTTCTTAAAAACGGCTCCGAACTTTTTCTTTAAACTTTTCGAAGCGATAGTGCTAATTGCGCTCTTTAATATGACGTGAAGTTCATGTGGGAGTATTTCGTTTTTCAAAAATTACAAAATTGTAATTTCTTTGAAATATCTTTCTCGCAGTTAATATGCACATTTCCAGCAATTTGTAAACACTGTAGTATTTGTGAGTTTAATTACTTCAAATTACTTCATATTAAGTTTTTCGAAAACTCAAAATGTTTCTGTAAAAAAGAGCTTAAAAATTTCCAATTTACAGTAGCGCAAAAAAAGAGCTTAAAAATTTCCAATTTACAGTAGCGCTTAAATATCATTTTCTTAAAAATTGCGTTTTGTAGCTGTTGTGGCTTATCTTATTCCTGTCCAAGCGCTTCAGTTCACCTTTATTGTGAATTATGTAATTGATGTACTTTTTTCCTGAAATGAAAATGGTTTTCGATGACGTAAGTGCTCATCTATTAATTTTAATTGACCTCTTCTTACAATTACACTAACGAGTCTTAATTCAATCGATATTCGTCTGTTGTGACGCAGATAAGCATGCAATGTTATTTTTTGTGATTAATAGCAAAGAGTCGAAGTTTGGGAAGAATAGTTTCATATTTTACTTTTACTATAAACAAGATTGACATTAGCAGTGAATTTATCGTCGTACGCAATACAAAAATGGATTTGTCTATAATGTAGGTGTTCTGAAATTTGGCTAATATGGTATTGAACACTTTTTTCTAGGAGTTAATTTTTTGTGTTTCTTTCTACGAACAAGGGAGGAAAGTATGTGAGATACAGAGATAAGTCGTAAGCCTTTTTCCTCTTTCCCCCTGCAGTATATCAGGTCGTACACATGGGTAGGCATTTTGCAACGAGACTTTCATATGCGAGAGTGGCCACAATGTGTCATCTCCATCATCGCATTTGCTACCCTTTACGATGCGTGGGCAGGATGGTGAGACTGCTCGCTGACCGCAAGAGAGAGATTAGTAAGAGAGGAGGTGACGTGGCAAATGTTTCTCCCCAAGATGCTAGAAAGAAAGTTCTTGCGAATTCGATGGTATGACGGTTAGCGTATCGGGCCGCTTGCGGGTTCAACTGTGGAGTTTTGAGGGTGAAAAAATCATTCGGAGGAGAAGTAATGCCGACTGCCCCATGTTATAGATTTATTGTATGTAAAATATCTCCAAGCCTATAGGAAGTCTCTGAGCTAGATTCAAATCACCTGTTTCGACGCCCGAGTAATACTTTCTTTCTCCGCGAGATGGTGACTTACTAATTCATGATTTTTACTTTATCGGTGTATTATATTCGGACGTATGAAGTAAGGTAAGAAATTAAAATACATGAATTAGGGACGTATACAAACTTACGTTGTTAAACTATTATAGATTGGATAATTTTTGAAGACAGGTGGGCGTTATTGAATTGGTGTGATGTATAAAACTCCACAAAAAGCATAGGCGGGTGCAATGACATGTTATATCTATTTTAGTACAGATTTCTTAATTATTTGGCTCAGAAAGTGATTTATTATCACCAATTGAAAAACACACTTACCAGCTATTCAGAGTAAATTTGTTAAGTAGCGCCTCTTACCTTCTTGTTACTCATTCTCAACAGACGATAATTTCAAGCAAGTTTTCTGTTTTGTTTTATTCGTCTCTTGACATTCCTCGTCGTATATTATTAGGATGTGATGAACTTTTCCGGCAGTTTTTAATATTCAAATAATTAATATTTGGTTTGTATGTTGCTACTTATAACGACATTGGTTTGTATGGCCTACTGGGTATAAAGGTTACAATCTTAGGTCCCGTCCGAATCCTATACAAAAACTTAAATTTATTAAGAAACTATCGGTTATAAAGACCAGTTGTTAATACAATACTATCTTTCTGTGCCCGCCTACATGAATAATTGGTGTAGGTACTGCTCGCACAGAATAGAGGCTCTCCCTAAGTGTAGGACACCAGTGAACTCTGAGAGGAGTGTGTTAGTCATTCCAAACCAGTGCAGCTGTTAGCAAGCCTCGACACATATCAGAATATTGAAACAATGTGTTAAAAAATGTTTATAGTTGAGGAAAATCATATATAATGTAGAGATTTAAATGAGTTTTATAAAATAAAATTTAAAGAAATAATTGCTAATACATTTTTTGATAAGCTAATTTGTCTTTGATCCGTACTTTTCACATTGACTTTCCTACATTCTGACATTTTACTTTCGGGGTGGCAAAAGATGCATTATGTGGGTACATGTCCATTAATGTTTGTAATAACAATCTGTTATAACGGCCAAAATTCTCGATCCCTTTAGAGTCATTATGATCGATTTTGACTGTCTATAAGATATTTTTATTGCATATAAATCCGATAATCTACTCATGATTGTCAACGCGAGCAATAAGCACACAAAAAGAAGAAAGATGGCTTAACTGCTAACATTCCTGCTCATCTCTCCTCTATTCGTGATGTCATCCTATTTGTGGGATAGGCGTTTCATCTTCAGTCACATCATCTGTACGTTGTAATGGTTTTATTCTAATTCTTATCTTGTATATTGCACTTGAGGTCAGAGAGGACAACATACTTTCGCATGGAAACTGCGTGTTTACATTAATAGAGTTTGTTAGCTTAATGGATAGTAAAGTTGATATGTTACTATTTTTCGGTGCGACTGGTATATAAAAGAATATAATGTCAGGTGTAGTACTGAATGACTTGAGATGTTGGCCTTATAAGTACTTATTTTAAGGTATACTCTGCAATTCCGTGAGGCAATTCTTAGACCGCAATTTGGTCGTTACGTAACTATCTTAGATCAGATGAATCGCAGTTACTGTGGACTGGGAAAAAATACTTTTATATCGTCTAGACTAGAGCGGTACTGAATCGATGTATGATTCTTCTCGACAAAAGGATCCCGAATATGATGACACACACATTTTTATTGTGCGGTTTTCCGGGGCTAAATTAATTCAATTACAATTCTTGAACTGTCTCAATGCGATGACACTGTTTCTTATTTAACACTCGTAAATGCGTTTTTTAATGGAACTTCTCCCGAAACCGATTTGTAGAAACTTTATATGAAAATTAATTGAAGCAAGATCAACAGAATAGTAAAACAGCACTTGAAGAATGCCCGTGACTCTTTCAGTAATGTCTCCTAATACATCTGTGACATTGAAGTTAGAAATATCTTTCTCAGTGCAATCTATATCTCAATATTAGACCATTAAATCATATGCTGTAAGTTTTTGCGAAATAGGGGTAGTGTTCGTTACTTTTTGAATGTCAATCTGAAAAAAGCATAATTCGATAGCCTGCTGTATAAAGGAATATTTTACTGTGTATTTGTAAAGAAATATGTATGCACCAAGGAAGTTATAAGGGTTCTAATGACCGACCAGTCTACAAATCTATTAGGTAACGAATTGCAGACGTTATAAAAGCAAATGGCCCAACATTTGTGTCATATACAAATTATTAATGTATGAATATTTTGTATATGACACGTTTTCATATTATTTTGTTCAACCTTTATAAAATTCACCTGTTTTCATATTTCCGTCGTAACCACGATCCTCTTGATGCAGATAAGTTATGCAGGGTATATCGAGATCCATATCGAAGGAAATAACTAGCAATGTTTCACTAACAATAAAATATATCTTGGAAATTGTGTCGTTGGCTGGCTGGCGGTCAGGGGGAGGTGGCTCAAGCCCTAGGATTTGAGGGCCCACGGGTGGCGCGATTTTCGACACTTGCCAGATGGCTAGGTTGAGTTCTGTCGTTGCCTGGAGGAGAATTTTAGCGGTCGGCTGCTCTGATCGTTAGTTATCCGTGGTTTCTCCGATCAATACCAGGCGAATGCCGGAGTATTACCCTACCAAACGGGGCACTAGCCGCGTGCAGTCTTTTCTTCCCATTCCTAGACATATCCTACCCCTTACATACACACACTTTCATGCACTACATTACCACACATGCCGCGAGAGCCGTAGGGAGCTTAGAACTTGATCCGACTGGGGCGGATGCCCCATTGGTGAGAGATACTTTGAATTGTTGCCTTATTTTACGTGGCGAGACTCGTGCCATCAGGCCCGCTCTTCCGTCTGACCACGCAAATTTCGTTATGCTTCTTTCATCAGTTAGCGGGGAATGAAGGTATTTCGAGGGCATTGAAACAGGCTATTTGAATTTAACTCAGAGGCTTCATTTAGACGAGGATATTTTACATGCAGTAAATCTACAAACACATGGGACAGCCGGCTTTACGTCCCTTCCGAAGGAAGGCGTAGGAAGGACTTTTTCGCCCTAAAAATCCACTGATTCGATCGGGTTTGAACCCGCGAACAGTTCGATACGCTAACCGTTATACCATCGCCGCCGCCAAACTTGGATACCCCGCTGGACGACGGTAGGTCGGCGCCGGATCTTGCCATCCAACGGGACAATATCTCCGCTTCCTCCCGCGCAAAACATATGCACTAGACTTCCGAAACGGCTAATGACCTGAGTTGACGAGTTGAGGCTAATGACCTGAGTTGGAGTTGACGCGCCGGGAAGCACTAGTAATTCAATGAATGAACCAAGCTGACGGGAGCGCTGGTGTGTTGCAGGCGCGCTGTCGGGCGCGGGATTGCTGCTGGCCGGCCTGCTGCTGCTGTCGGCCGCGTGGTCCGACGACGAGTCGTCGGCCGTCAAGGGCATGGAGTTCCTGCGGGAGTCGCGCGATGCGCGTCGCTACGTGCGGCCGCTGACGAGCACGGCGCTGCTGACGCCGCCCCCCGGCTCGGCCGCGGCGGCGGCGTGCAACGCGCCCCCCATGGGGCCCGGGCCCGGCGTCGCCTCGTTCGAGGCGAACGACCCCCTGGCGGCCCAGCTGGCGCCCGCGCCCCCGCTGCGCCTGCTCATGCTGGTGACGTCGGCGCCCGCGCACCACGAGCGCCGCCAGGCCATCCGCGAGACGTGGGGCGGCCGCAGCGAGGACGCGCGCCTCGTCTTCGTGCTGGGACGCGGCCCGGAGCCGGCCACCGAACCCTCGGTGAGCAACAAACAAACACACACATACACACACACTCACTCACTCATCACTCACTCACTCATTCACTTACTCATTCACTCACTCATTCATTCACTCACTCATTCATTCACTCACTCTCACTCACTCATTCACTCACTCACGCATTCACTCACTCATTCACTCACTCACTCACTCATTCACTCACTCACTCATTCATTCACTCATTCACTCACTCACTCATTCACTCACTCATTCACTCACTCACTCATCCACTCACTCATCCACTCACTCATCCACTCACTCATCCACTCACTCATCCACTCACCTTCAATACTCTCTTCACTCACTCACTCATTCACTCAACTCACTCATTCACTCATCACTCATCACCACTCACTCATTCTCACTCACTCTCACTCATCATTCACTCACTCACTATTCACTCCACTCATTCACTCACTCATTCACTATCACTCATTCACTTCACTCACTCATTCATCACTCACTCATTCACTCACTCACTTCACTCACTCATCTTCACTCATCACTCACTCATCTCACTCACACTCACTCATCATCACTCATTCACTCACTCGTCATTCACTCACTCATTCACTCACTCATTCACTCACTCATCTTACTCACTCATTCACTCACTCATTCACTCACTCACTTCATTCATCACTCACTTCACTACTCATTCATCACTCACTCATCTCACTACTCACTCATTCACTCACTCATTCACTCACTCATTCACTGCACTCATTCACTCACTCATTCACTCACTCATTCACTCACTCATTCCTCATCATTCACTCACTCATTCATCTCACTCATCTCACCACTCATTCACTCACTCATTCACTCACTCACTTCACTCATTCACTCACTCATTCACTCACTCATTCACTCACTTCACTCTCATTCACCTTCTTCACTCTCACCTTTCTCTCACTCACTCATCGTCATATCACTCACACGCTCATTCACTCACACGCTCATTTCACTCACACGCGCTCTTCACTCACACTCACACACACTGAGACTGCGCGGCACACACACGGTATCAGACGTTTTAAATTTACTTGTTCCTTTTGTAATTTTCGATGCCATATCTATAACTGTACATAAATAAAATGGAATGTTCATGTCTGTCGCATTTACTCGCAAAAACTACTCGACAGTTTTCGCTGAAATTCCTAGACCTTGTTCTTATTGGTATCGGGAGTGTTTAAACAGTATTTTGAATAAAATCGGGCATGTGGGGGCGTTGGTTTTCCAAAGTTAATCGATGGGTAGGGTTCTAAGCTGTTCCAAGAGGACCTTTCTTGAAGTGGATATCTTTTTGGATATGATGGATATCTTTTTGTTCTATACTCATAATATCCAAGTTGCGATATAGAAAACAGGCGTTACAGAAAGCAGGAAGTAAAAACCAAAGGCTGGCGGTGCATAACATTATTCGAACATTTTGTAGTTACTACGTAGTTAACCTTCACTGAATAAATTGATTTTGAACTTGAATTATATTTATTTAATTCACTGCAATATAGAAGCAATGCAGGGTTCGCTAGTTATCAATATATTTATAGAGGGGGTCGAAGATAATAACGTTTTGTCAATGTACAATGAATGACACTCGGTGAAGTACTCAAGCCACTTACCAAAATCCCAAGGGGTGACACGGAGACAGCACAGAACCGACACGACACGACGAGTTTCAAAATGTATTTCTACCTATGATTGGTTTCTTTTCTATCTATCATTACTATTAATATACAGAGCGACTGAGAATAAATGTTACAAACGTATAAGACATATAGAAAGATCGAAGATCACTTGCATTATAACGAATTCACTCGTGGGATATTTGTCTCTGATAGTAGCCAACTCATTCTTCACTAGCTTTGACCGGCACCTTAAATATCCTTGCGTCACAACGTGTACCTCACAAACACCAATGCAACATGTGTTGTTTACCTATCAGGAGCATCGTGTTCAAAATTGTTTACGTGTAATTTCGATATGAATTTCCCGCCAACACTCTTTGGGAAACGTTTTCTCTTCGACCTCCGTACATGTTCAAGAAGGTTGTAACATTTATTCTGTACCACTCGTACGCAAGTTCACTGGGGAAATCCATCCTTTTCTGTACTTGTATCTTCTGAATGCAATATTTGATGTGAATATTGATAAACATGCATCAGATGCGGCTGTGGGTCACTTTACATTGACTTTTGTGGCAGATATTTATATTAAATCAAACGGTTTGTATCTTGGTTTGTGGATTTCATCGTGGATCAAGTGGTTAGGGTGACCTTATCCTCAGTAGTTATAATGCAATTTTTTTATTGAGAATGTATCATGGATTGGGTACGATTGTTAGAACTTTTGACTGACAGTGCCCAGTTCTCGTAAACGTAGTTTGAAGACTGTTTGTCCCTAATGTCCGAGGAGAGTTTATACCTGTGACGTGAAACTTTTCGGAGTCTGATGTTTCAATATCTTCTCCATGTCGGTTTCTGTGTCGCCGATCAAAGTGCGTACACAAATAAGTAACCAGTTCTGTTTGTGGTTGGTATGTAATATTTATTTTGTCAAGGGCAGTTGTTATTTATTAAAATAAATGTCAATTGAACAAACTTGGTTACGTTTGTTCTTAAACGCCAGTTCTTAAAGGATATTTTTTGAGGTATTGTAACGTTTTTATTGATGTTTCTTTAGAATCGTCGATCAATTATTGTATAGTCTGCTTATGTTGCTGCTGTATAGGAGACACAAGTGAGATCCCAAATTTCTCATTCGAAAAGCTCCCTATTTGACCGGATACAGATTAGAGATACCATTGTTAAATTTCTCTGGAAAATACAAAGGAGTGGAATGGAAGGTATTATTGGAGAGGTATACACATTATTTACAGATATCGTGGATGGTAATATTTTAGAAAACCTTCATTAACACCTAAAGAGTAGAACAGTATTATGTCCTTATAATTATCATACCTTATTAATTACATACAATATTCTGTGTGCTTGTTCTGTCGGTGAATCGTTTTTGCGGAACCCAGATTTATGTCAGATGAGTATTAAAAGAGTAACTTGTTACTCGTTACTCGTTGAACTTGTTCACATTACATCAGAAGAAGAATTGAGTAATCATGCAAATGATGTTTGTTTGACACCATTAGTCAACCAAGCCAAGTCAACCAAAGTGGCTGTTTTTCTGTAAAAAAACAAAACAAAACAAGTCTCACTTCTTAGCTTTCCTCTTCCCCGCACTTCCTTTCGCTTCGTTGAATTTGGAAAGCATAGCTTCTCTATGCTCTCTAGAGTCATAGATTGAAATGAACATTGCGAAGGTGGACGAAGGCGCTCCAAACTCAGAACGAGACTTTTACTTTATTTCGGTGGGCATCACGTCAGGGTCACATCGTCAGACTTCCAGTGCGCATCGTGTCTGTTACGTCAGGCTCGCTGCGTGGTTGGACAGGATGTAGTATTTCTAAACGCGCAGCCAGCCAAAACGTCAACGCAGCAGTTGGAAATTGTTACGTCACAATACTTATAATCGTTTGAAACAAAATTTGTATACTTTTTTACGGAATATGTAACTGGGGCAAGAAACATTTTGTCAGTTTTAGCTGGGGAAGATTAGAACCAAAGATGATTTCATGCGCTTGGAGCAGGAAGCCTTAGCCGTAAGTGGGATTTGTATAGGCTAGATAAATAAATAAATGAGTAGATAAATAAATAAATAAATAAATAAATAAATAAATAAATAAATAAATAAATAAATAAATAAATAATAAAATTAAAAAATGTATGTAACTTGTTGGTCGAGGATGATTCTCATATTTCAAGAGCCGAGCTTGTTTAGTATATTTTTTTCGTGAAGATAAATCGACAATGATAATGAAAACAACCGACAAAAAATGCAATTTCCGAAACATTTGTGAAACCTATCTGAAATACATAATCGATAACGTTTTTTACTTGGTGGTACGTAGCTAAAAGAAGCCGAACGCGTCTCTAAGTAGTCCTTCAGAAGTTCTGTTCTTGCATTCTGAAACGCATATAACAAGAACATCTGTTCAGCAACACTGAAACAGAAGTGTATTCTTCGGTTTCTTTTGTGTGGTGTGTTTGTGTGTGTGTGTTTTGTGTGTGTGTTTGTGTGTGTATGTTTTGTGGTGTTTGTGTGTGTTGTTGTGTGTGTTTTTTTGTAAAAGGTTTGTTGTGTGTTGTTTTTGGTGTGGTTGGTTGTGTGTGTTGTTTGTTTGGTTTGTGCGTGTGTGTGTGTTTGGTTTGTGTGGGGTGTGTTGTGTGTGTTGTGTGTTGTGTGTGTGTGTTGTGTGTTGTGGGTGGTGTTGTGTTGTGTGTGTGTGTGTGTTGTTTGTTTTGTGTTGTGTGTGTTGTTTGGTGTGCATGTGTGTGTGTTTGCGTTGGTCGTGTTGTGTTTGTGTGGTGTGTGTGTGGTTTTGTGGTGTTGTGGTTGTTTGTGTTGGTGTGTGTTGTGTTGTTGTTTGTGTGTTGTTTGTTGTTGTTGTGTGTTGTTTGTGTGGTGTGTGCTGTGTGTTGTGTGTGTGTGTGTTTGTGGTGTGTGTGCTGGTGGGTTGTCGTGTGTTTGGTGTGTGTTTTGTTGTTTGTGTGCTGTGTTGTGTAGTGTGGTGTGTGGTGTTTGTGTTCGTGTGTTGTGTTGAGTGTGTGTGTGTTTGTTGTGTTGGTGATGTATGTGTGTGTGTGTGTTTTGTGTGTGTTGTGTGTGTGTTGTGTGTGTGTGTGTGTTTGTGTTGTGGTGTGTTGTTGTGGTGTGTGTGTTGTTTTAGTGGCTTGGTGTGTGTGTGTTTGTGTGTGTTGTGTTTGTGTGTGTGTGTGTGTTTTGTGTGTGTGTTTGATGTGGTGGTGTTGTGTTGGTTGTGTGTTGTGTTTGTTGTTTGTGTGTGTGTTGTGTTGTGTGTGTGTTGCGCTTGTGTGTGTGTTGTGTTGTTGTGTGTGTGTTGTGTTGGTGTGTGTTTGTGT